AATGTCAAGTCTAGTTGCTATTAAGTACCTCAAGCTTCCAATAAGTCTCCTGAAATTTGTTGCCTCAACCAAATCACCGCTGCTTTTTTTCATAAGCTTTAACATTTCTTCCACTTGTGTTAATATTGGTTTGCAAGCTTCCATCTTAAATTTCTTAAAGATATCTCTTGCATATTTCTTTTGAGAAATGAATATGTCTTCATCTGTTTGATTAACCTCAATACCAAGAAAGTAAGACATTAACCACATATCTGTCATCTTAATATGGGCAATCATATCCTTTTTGAATTCTGATAGAAGTCTTGAATTATTATCGGTGAATATCAAATCTTCCACATAAAGGCAAACAACAACAATATCTCCATCCTTGTTTGTCTTGATATATAGAGTATATTTGTACCGATAATTTTAGAAACCATGATTAAGAAAATAGGTGTCAATACGAGTGTACCATGCACTTGGCGCTTGTTTAAACTCATATAAAGCCTTATTCAACTAATAAACTTTATCTTTTTCACCTTTCTTTTCGTAACTAGGTAGTTGTTCAACAAACACTTCTTCTTCAAGTACAATATTTAAAAATGTTGATTTTACATCCATTTAATATATTTTCCAATAATTTTAGGCAGCAAGTGAAATAACCATACGCACAGTATCCAATCTAGCAACATGTGCAAATACTTTAAAGTAATTAATACGTGACTTTTATTTATATCCTTTTACAACAAGCCTCACTTTAAACCGTTCTACTTCTTTGTTAGGCTTGTACTTTGTTTTGTAAACCCATTTAACTCCAATTGGTTTATTCCCTTTCGATAGAGTAATTAACTCCCATATATTGTTATTCTCAATGGCAAAAATTTATTCGTCCATAGCTTTAATCCACCGATCATTATTAGACGTTTCTTCAAACACTATTGGATTACAATCTACAAAGAAAGCATAATGAACAACATCTTCATCATCATCGGGATCATTACTAACTTCATAATCCTTTAAATAGGTAGGCGGATGACAATCTCGTTGTAAACATCTTAGTACAAGAGGAGATGAAGCTTTTGGAGCAACACTAAATGATTCTTCAGAAACTGGAGGAGAAGACTGCTCACCAGTTCGATTACTTGTTTCTATTTCATTGTTTATGAACACCATAACTCATAGTGATCTCTTTTCTTCTTAGGACCATTCTCATTCTCTATCTTCATTAAAAGTAATATCATGACTAATTATTACCTTTTGGGTCTTTAGGTTGTATAGCTTGTAGCCCTTTGTTTCTATGTTATAACTAATGAAGATGTATTTATCTGCTTTGTCATCAAGTTTCATCCTTAACTCATCTGGTACATATGAATAAACGATACAACCAAACACCTTTATATGTCTTAAATTAGGCTTTTATCCACTTTATACTTTTTGTGGTGTTTTATCACAAACACTTTTAACATGACATATGTTTAAAATATAAATGGCACAAGCAACTGCTTTTACCCAAAAACTCTTAGGTAACTTCTTACAATGCATAATGTTTCTTATCATGTCCATAATAGTTCTATTTTTTTCTGCCCATCTGTTTTGTCGAGGAGTATATCTAGCCATTAACTGATGTTTAATTTCATGTTTTCTTAAGAAATCATCACAAACAATATATTCTATGCCTTTATCAATTCTTAAAGTTTTAAGAGAGTAACCACTTTGTCTTTCAATATATGCTAAAAAATTCTTAACTATTCAACATACATCTCATTTATGCATAAAAAAAAAATACTTATGTCTTTATACTAAAATCATCAATGAAAGTAATGAAGTACTACTTGTTACCTCCATTAGAATGAGCATCCACGTAGCATAAGTCTAAATGCACAAGCTCAAGTGGGCTTTTAACTCTCTATGTCTGCTTTGTAGGGAATGGATCTTTATGCTTCTTTACTAAGACACAATGCTCACAAAGTTGGTAAGGAACTTAAATAGTTGGTAAGCTTGAAACCCACTCTTTATTTGCAAGAAATTTGATGCTTCCAAGATTCAAGTGCCCGAGCCGCATATGTCATAGCCAATTATCATCGACAATCATAGAATTACAGTTATAAACACTACTATAATTGATTTGCATTGGAAATAAATGATTGGATGACATCTTTGTCTTCAGGATCATTCCTTTCTTTGTGTCACTTACAACGTACCATGTTTGTTGAGACACAAATCATAACTTTTTTACTAGTTGTCCCATGCTAAATGGGTTTTGACAAATAGTAGGAGTATAATAAACTTTAGAAATATAATCTGCAAACCCATTATTTAATTTAACAGCAATTCTTCATTTTTCTAAATTTGGGACTTCGTATTTGTCGCCTAATTTCACCGAAGAACAAAACAATTCATCTAACTCAAAAATACTTCCTTATTTCCACTCAAGTGATTGCTACAACCTGAGTCTAATAATCACTGACTATTGTTATTTCCATTACTATCATGAGCTGCCATCAATAGAGTCTCTACACTATAGTTTTGGGCTACCCCGACATGATTTTCTCAATGTTATGATCTCTTTGGACAATACTCTCTACTATAATGACTATATCTTTTGCAATTATAGCACTGAATATGTGATTTACAGTTTGATTGATAATGACTACATTTTTTACATTTATGACATTGGATGCGGACTTACCTTGAGAAGATTCATTCTATGTTGTTTCTTGTCTTGAAGTTATTCTGAAATTTTCTCCTTCTCTATCTCTGAAATTTAAGCCTCTATGACTATGTTGTGATCTAGGCATCTCATCATTTAAATTTAATTTAGCCTTTAAAGCTTGTTCCATTGTGCTTGGAGATCTTTCATTCATCCACATCTCATGTGACTCTAATGAAGCTTGTAAATCATTAAGAGTCATGGTGTCCAAATTTTTGAACTCTTCAATAACTGTCATTGTGTAGTTGAATCAACTTGACAATGTACGTAAGATCTTCTCCATGACATCTTTCTCATTTATTTGGTCTTCATTATTTTCTTAATCTCGTTTATTAATTTCTTCATTTGTGAAAAATAATTACGAATACTTTCGTATTTGTATTCTTCCATTAGCTTTAACTATTTTTTCAATTATTGCAGTCGAGTTCGTTTGACTGGATCTACACCTTCATATGTTTTAAGTAAAATATTTCAAGCTTCTTTTGTTGTTTTAGCATAGAATATTTTTTCTAGGACCGACAGCTCCACAGACTGACAAATTAAAAAAAAAACCTTCTTATTTAACGAATGATCACAAACTAAGTTTTATAAACCTAATATTGACGACTTTTCTTTTTCGACAAAACCATTATCTAGAATTTCACCATAATCATTGCTTTTACGTTAAGTGTTTCCATATTGCAAAATTATTTTTGCTATCAAACTTAAAATTTGATGACTGCACTTGTTGAATTTAAACTCCCGTTGTTGAACTAGAAGACATATTGATCAAACCTTAAGCTCTAATATCAGATGTTGGCAATTTAATTTTATTATAATTACCTAGAGAAATAAATTTATAAATTAAAAAACATTCAATATTTTATTGATAGAAAGAACATAAGTTTTACAACACTCACAGTACAAAATTTCACACCCGAAACCCGGTATGCATTAACTTGTTGAAGCTAATAATTCTCACTTAGTTTTTTTTCAACTCACACTCTTTTGCCTAACTTATTTATATAAGTAGAAAGGTTGTTGTTTTGCTTTCATCTTCGCTTCTTTATTGTAAATTAATTCAAGTTTTAATTTCTAGCAATAAACAAAGTTTAATTGTTCAATAGTAATCTATTCTTATTTGATTGGGAACTTATTAGAGACACTATAAATTAACAACGAACACACTTAAGAGTAAGAAGGATTCGAGAGTAAGTGTTGTGCTGTTATTTTAATGGACATAAAGACAATAAAGAGTTTGGGTATTT